GGGCGTATTTATCGGGACCATATGAAGGAGGGTAACATTGCCTGATTGCTGAAGGTACTTCAGGGTGTAGAAACAAAGAATGCAGATGGAGACATTGAAATTTTAAAAACAGTGGTAAGTAGTTCAAAATAACTTGGTCAGTAACATACAATTGAAAAGAAGTCCCACAAGCATAGAGCTTCGAAAGCTACTGCTTCTCATCCTTGTCACAAGCCCTGCTCTACAAATGTCTGTGATTCTCCTTCTGGTCCAGGAGCCATCTTCTGCCATCAGCTGCTCCTGCTCTGAAAGGATTCTCTCACTCCCAGTGAGCTTCCAAAGCCTCCTTTGTGCTCCTGCTCTGCTCTGTTCCACTTTTCCTTCCAGCTCCCTGATAGTTTTAAAGGTAAAACCCTCTTGAAATGAAGGTTCAGGTATGACTCTAGTGTGTGACACAGCACAGGAGCTGTTTTGATGGAAGTCATATTAACTTTTAACAGCTAATGGTTTAAAGAGCCTGAGTCTTAATAGGAACAGCTAATTGATACATTTATTGGACATTTATTATATGTTAGATGCTTTACATTTATCCCCTAATTTGATTATCCCAGTGACCTGAGGAGCTGGGTACAATTTTTTAACCCTCACTCTACTGATGAGGGAACTGACATGGCTCAGAGGAGTTAAGGCACATGCTGGAGGTTAATACAGCTAGTAGGTGGCAGAACTGGGACCGGAACTAGGTTCGTGTGTGTCTAAAAACCATGCTCTTCACCATTATGTTATACTGGATGCAGTATGATGTAATTGGGAAAAGCAAAGACACAAAACCATGCTCTCAGCCATTATATTACACAGGATGCAGCATGACATAATTGAGAAAAGCATGTTTTGTTTTACTTTTTTAATCTGAAAGATGTGGGCTCCGAATCTTGGCTACCACCTACTATTACTATCTGACTTCAAAGCTTTGCCTGATCTGAGCCCTGCCTAGCATCTAATCTTTTCTCTCATCTCTCTAAAGTCATACACATCAGACTCAAGTTCCACGAGCTTTCCCTTGGCTCCTTAGCAAGCTCTTTCCGTTCTTAAGGAGCTCTGCAAATATTGTTCCATCTGGAATGTTGTCACCTGCCTAACTCTGACTCATGTCTTCATTCCCATCTTTCAGCATTTCCTCAGAGAGACCTTTCATCTAATCCCCAATCTAAATAAAGTACCTCTTGTTATAATTTGATAGCACTTTGATAATTTCACTCGTAGCACGTTATTTACAACATTTGTATTATATATTTGCACATTTCATTTCTGTGTCATCCCACTAAGCCAGGGATCCACAAAATCTGGTCCAGTACTGCTTGTTCCATTTTTGTCAGTAAAGTTTTATTCAGACTGGCTCACAAGGTCAAAAATATCTGCTTTCTGGCCCTTTATAGGAGAAGTTTGTTGACTTCTGTGGCAGATGATAAACTGTATGAGATTTGTCTGGTTTACCCTGAATACTTAATGTCAGGCACGCTGCAATCTAATACTATTTGTTGATTTAATAAATAAATGAGCTATTCAACTATAAATGGGGTTAATGGGAATGAAATGAAATAATACATATGTAATTCTTGGTGCATGTTGCTTTTATTAAGCTGACTGAAAATTTCTTTAAGACTAATTAAAAATTTATGATTTTATTTATTTTTACATACTGGCTTAAGAAATCCATCCAGTTTAAGTGAGAAATTGAGAAATAAGTAGTTTTCATAAACTCAGAAACTCTGGACAAATTTTGAATAAAAAGAGCTGTTAATTTTTTCCTTCTCTTAAACTATTGTATGTATACACCTGGAGTTTCTGAATTTTAGTTGTTCTCCCTACTTCCATTATGAAAGGCAGAGGAAGGATAAAATTCAATTTAAATAGTTAGCTGCTCTGTTTTATAGCAATGTTAATTCTTGATGATATTCAACTTACACATCAGCTTTATAATATTTCATTTCACACTTTTATGCCTCTCTTTCTTATTCTGTAAAAACACATCCTGTTTTCTGTATAGCTAAATAAACACCTGCAAAGGCAGAGCAGGCTTTTACTACTTCTTAAGAAAAGATGACAGTGAACCATTGTGTGAGGTTCTATTAGGGAGTCTGCAGTGGGTGAAGCTTCAAAAGAGCAAACAGTTACCATTTTTCTTTTCAACACGTGAACACATAATTTAAAGGAAGCCCAGGCCAGGGGTGCCTCTGCACTTGGGATGATTTGTTCCTGCAGATTTGTTAGTGTTGATTATAGAAGTGACCTACATCTTTCAGGCTCTCATGACCGCTCTTGTAGTAGGTGAGTGGTACACATAACAAACATGTATAAGTAAGATGGATGTTGGAGACTGTCAATAGCCATCTAAAATAATCACTGAAATACACACTAAAACATGGTAGTTTTCAATTTTACCAATTTGATTTAAGAGTATGAGTGAAGGGCCTGCTGTGCCTCAAGTGTGCAGAAGACTACATAGATCCTAAATTTCTATAGAATAAAATCAAGGAATTCATCATCAGGATTAAAAAAAATTATGACTGAACTGAATTTAAACAATTTTTCTTCTAAAACTATTAAGACTTCTGACATGGATGAGAGTAACAGCAATTGTAGACACAGCCATATTTAAATTAAGAAAAGATGTTCAATTGTTAGTTCAAAAGTATGTGCTAAAATTCTTGCATCTTGTGTGAATTTTATGTTCCTTTATAAAGCATAATGAAAACTCCATGAATTCAACCTACAAAAATTTTCTTCTGTCTTTGTAAGCAAAAGGAAGATACAATGAATTTCATGAAACTAAAAACTACCTGGCATTATTAATGAAATGTAGGTACTAATTCATATAATTTCTGACTATACTCCAAATGGATTTTAGTCCAAATAACAGTCTAAAGAGTCAACGGTACATGGTGTTCAATATTTCAATCTTAATTTCAAGTTGTAAGCCAGCTAAAAAATACTGTGGTTTTATATTGACAGAATTGCTATTTTTGGCTTGACCCATAGCAATAAACAACATGTAGGAAAACAATGAAGAAATCCATCATAAACCTTTATTTATCCTTTAACTCAATTTTCAGCCAAAAATAGTTCAAGTCATATGTACCTTAAGTACAATAATTTAAATTTACAAAAATTTAAATTTAAAAAGTTTCTTTATCTCTTAATGACATACTGGCTTTGATGGCATAAAGAACAACTTCTATTCATTATAATTTATACAGGTAACAACTAAGTGTCCATCAATGGATGAACAAATAAAGAAGTGGTTACACGTGCACACACACACACACATGCACACACACACACAGGAACATTATTCAGCCATTAAAAAAGAGGAAATCCTACCAGTTGCAACAACATGTATGAATCTTGAAGGAATTATGCTAAGTGAGGTAAGTCAGACAGAGAAAGAAAAGACTGTATTGATCTCATCTATATGTAGAATCTAAAAAACAAACTCACCAAAAGAGATCAGATTTGTGATTATCAGAGGAGGAGTGTGGGAGGAAGGAGAAACAGATGAAGGTGGTCAAAAGGTACAAACTTCTAGTTACAAGATGAGTAAGTACTAAGGATGTAATGTACAACACGGTAACTATAGTTAACACCACTGTATGATATAAAGGAAAGTAGCTAAGAGAGTAAATCCTAGGAGTCCTTATCACAAGGAGAATTTTTTTCCCCTTTTTCTTCTTTATTTTCTTTTTATTGTATCTATATGAGATGAAGGATGTTAGCTGAACTTACTGTGGTAATCATTTCACAATATATGTAAATCAAACCAACATACTGTCTGTGTTAAAATTATACAGTGATGTATGTCAGTTACCTCTCAATAAAACTGGAAAAAATATAAAAAACTTAAACCACGTATTAGTTCTAGTCTCACTTGAAGTTCCAATAAGACAGAAAGGGACAACTGGAGAGCTAGAGTGTCTTTATTTGGGGGATTGTCTGGTGAGGGCATATCGGAGGTTATCCTCTTAGCTCTTTCCCCAGAGTAAATGGGCAACAGGTAAAACATTCTTCTCTCCATGGTCAAGGAATGCCTGTTTTCCAGGTTCCATTATCCATTTGTAATGGCTGGAATCTGGCTTTACCATAATTTCTCCCATTATTTGTAATTTAACATCAGAATGCATACAAACCACCCAACTCTCCTTGTATCACCTAACTAAATGCACTCTCCCCAAGAGTGAAGAAAAACAGTCAAATCACAGATATTTATGATATACATGTCTTTGCTGAATAGAGAGCATTTGGATATATAAAATCTTTAGGATAGATTAATGGGATCATACAGCATTATCAATGGAGTTGTAGAAAAAAACTGTAACATCATTTGCCTCTTTGTTTATCAAATTCATGGTTTAAAGATAATGGTGTGAATTAACTAATAGTTTTTGCCTATATGTGTGTTATTATATATTTATATAAATATACTTATATATGTTATATATATATGTTTTAAGTTACTAATATTTTGTGAGGGTGTTTGTTGTTGTCAGTGCAATGCTAAATATTTTGGATACATTTCAAAGTCTCTTTTACTGTGAATACAATGAAAGCCGTTTTTATAAGCCTATATTCTAATCCTTTAAGTGGATGACCACAAAAGGACTCATTCCTATGCATATAAGAATATCTTTTGTTTGATGATGCATGCAGTGTAACAATGTTATGCTTATTAACTCTTAATCATTAAGGTATTTGTATTACAGAAGTACAATTCCCATTCAAAATTTATGTTGAAATAAAAAGTGAACAATCATTAATATGTAAACTATTTGTCTAACAGACAAGGTGATTTTTTCCCCCTTTACATATGATAGAATATTAGCATTTAAACTGGCCACATTTAATTCACTGAAACTTCTCTTAATGGATCTAAGTTCCAACGTTTTCAGTATCTTTAAAATACCTGGGGAAAATGTAATAAATAGTCCATGTAAATGATGATGCAGGAAAAAGTTTACCCCACTCACCTGTCTGTTACGTTCATCCATAATCCTCGTAATCTGAATCTTTTTTCTCCCCATAGTCCCCGTTTTTCTTCTCTCTCTCGTCCCTGAAATTATGTATTTTTTCCTTCCTTTTCTTTCTCTTTCCTGTTTCCTCCAAACAAATCTCCTTCTTCAGCACTTGCACTGCTCAGTTCCCAAATTCCTGCATTCGTTCCTGCTGGAAGAAAGAGAAAAATTAAATACCACTTTAACAGAAAGGCGGTTTCATAAGAGCGATCATAGTCTAATTTAAAAAGAGAACTATATGAAAGTAAGCCAATCAAATGAATGAAAATAAGTACTAAAAGCACATGGTCTATCCCATGTAGGAGGATATCAAAAAGGAACGGTTTGTTTTTATAATTAAAATAATCTCATAAGTAATTTAACAAGTCATTTAAATGACAAAAACTATACTTCAAAGCCCAACACTTGAAATGTATCTTTTGCAATGAGTTCCTTAATATTTTTTAATGAAATTAGGTGACTATTTTCACCCTTCCATTATGAAAAATTACCTAAATCAGAGAGTTAATGAACCTTTATGTACCTGTGTATGCTAAGTAGGGCAGCTAATTCATTTCTGAAGGGAAAACAATCTCATGTTTTGACAGCAGAGGTGATAACGTCCCCTCGTTATGCAAATAGGATGGACTATTATGAAAGCGCTATTTGATATATGTAAATGTCAACTAATTTAAATCTAAATCCTTTAATCTTATTTTTAAAAAGTCACTGCTCTGAGAACACTGTAAAAATAATATGGGATATTTAATCTTACATAATAAGCAGCTATCAGCAGTGAGATCTCCTTTTCCTCTTGAAAGCCCTTAAGCTATATCTTGAATACAAGAATCAAAAAAGATAATCATTCACAGAAAAGAAATGGTGCAAAAAATTAGAGTATTACTCCATTTATAATGATACTTTTTTTATAACTACACTTTTTATAATAAGCCATCAGTTCTCTAAATTTAAATATTTTAAAAAGACATATCATATATCTTTGGGGAGTAACATACAAAATTACAGAAGCCCAGTATTATATACTAGATACCTTTAGGTCATGAATTAAAATTAAAGAAATGATCATCAATAATATAAAATAAACCCAGAGAACCCGAGTATTAAAAGTATGTATTTTACTTTGTTTTAAATTATATCTGAAAACATTTGAACATAATGAAAATGAATTGCCGTGAAATGTGGAAGTTAACAAGAAAGCATTCCACATTGGATTCTAGATTTGCAAGCAACCGCTTCAATTATTCTATCCAGTTTTATGTCAAAGAATGCAACTACTTTATACATTGCTCAGAATTTCCCTGTTTTAGCTGGTGTCTGATGAGGGACCTGAGAAATTCCCACATGTATTATGTAATGCTAAGCCAATGTCCTGGCTATTTAATAGATTATTTGGCTCTAATTCAAAGTTATTGGAACAGGAAAGCTGTTACACACTTGGTCTGATCATCTGCTGTCTTTTGATTTCTTTAATTTAATTTCTAAATTCTTTATCACCTTGAATAAATTTCTTTAAATTAAAATTTTCTGTGATTATCTAATTGCAGAAGCTATTATGATATAATTAGTTCTGGTGGATTAAGCGCTGCTTAAATACTAAGACCATCCATTCTCTTTTGCCCAATGCCTTTCTATGAAACTGCAGCTCAGTTGTGCCCTTGAGAATACTATATATGTTGAGTAACACCATGACCACACAGTGCTCATCAAAAATTACTACTCAGCGGCAATTTTAAATGTTGGAAGTAGTTCAAAAGTTTTAAAGAGTTATATAAATAACACACATTTGACAAATACACATGAAAAAATTAGCTATAATAAAACATTAAAATCACATTAAAATATGAAACCTTCACAAAGCACAGTTGCATTATATATTCACCGTTGCCACACACCGTCCATCTATTTATTTTTAGAAACCGTCTTAAATATCACTCAACTGGGCAACTTTCCTGTGTTTCCTATAGTCTTACCTTAGAAGCAAGCGGCCCGTTAGAATGGCATTTCCCATGCATGTGCAAGACCCCCACAGAGACAGACGGGCTTCCTCTATCACAAAAAAAGCCAACCCATGAATCCACAAATGCATATGGGACAATTTCCTTTCTTTTCATTTGGCTGAGGCCGATGGCACTATCGGCTTACAGGACTATGCCTGCCTAAGCGCTTATTCACTTTAAGGTGGAAGGTCAGGGTGAACAGATTAGAGTGTGGTGACAAGGCGGGGAAGACAAGAACTTCAACAGATCCTGGTTTCAAAATACAAATAACCAAACAAGCAGAGAAGCATCCCTCGAGAAAAGTCTCTTCAGAAAGGCAGAGAGAGAACTCATGAGCCAAACTTAGAAGAGTTCCTACACCTCACCACCCCGTATTTCACAACTTTGAGAGGAGAAACACTTTTTAAAAAGAGCAGAGCAAGGATTTTTTTTTTTTAAATTCTTGAAGAAAAAAGGATGGGAAATATTTTGCCTGAAAAAATTTGTATGCGTATATCAAATATATATATAATATAGTCGGTGAAAATACCATTCGATGTATTTTCCTTCTTGAAATATGCAAGCTAATGTAAAGAGAAACAAGTTTAAATTTCAGTAAAATTAAAATATTTTCTTGTTTTCCATAAAAATGAATATTTCTTGAAGTGTTGCCTTCTGAGCATTTTTAAAATGCAAAACTTGATATTATTATGTACATATGCAGACTACTACTCAGTGATGATGCGATTTTTTCATGAAGTAAAATATGTCACAAAACGTGCCTTAGAACATTTGATTATGGATCACCACATTTCAAGGCTGTCAGTAAAAACTCAAAGAGTTTAGGAAGGTCAATAATAGCTCAGTAGTTGTTTTCTTGGCATAACTACTTCTCTAAGCTGATTTTTATGCCAAAATTATATTGTAAGGTCAGTTTCAAGTATTAATTTGTAGGAGGCCTAGAAAAGCTGAAAAGGAGATTAAAAAACTTCAGTAGTTTTTAAAATTGTTTTGTATGTACATGAAGAAAAGAATAGGTAAACTACTTGTAGTAGAATTTCAAGTTATGCTGAGAACTTTCATTATGTACAATCAACCATAAGCTTAAAATAATTCCAGCAGCCTTGCCGCTACTTCTTTCCACATGAAAGCAGCATTCTTGGAAAATGACAGAGCTACACAGAAACAATCAGTAATTAAAAAAAGAAAAAGAAATGCTCTACCACAGTTACACTCTATAGAGTTACAGTCTTCTACATTTTTTTTTTTTTTCTTTTCGTCAACCTAAATATAAGAAAAATAAAATCAGGCTGCTTACTAAAAAGGGGAACTTCATTATGGCAGGCTTCTGTTCACTCTGAGTTTGGCATAAGCAGACAGATGAAGGCAAAGTGGTTTTGAGACCCAAGTGGAGAAGAATTTCTTGTGGACAGATGCTAAAGATCCTTCTCCTACCCCAGCTCTCTCTTTACAAACAAGTTCCCTTGAGTGACACACACCTCCTCCCCCCTTCCCTGCCTCACTCTTTCTTGCTCCCTTCCTTTCTCTCTCCCTCCCTCCCTCCCTCCCTCCCACAAATCCCTCCCTGTAACACAGAAGAATCTTGACAGAATGGCAGGAAACACGCACAGACTGGTCAGGGAAGGATATGATGTCAGCAACCACGAACAATAAAAGGTGTAAAGGTGCTTCCTTCCCTAAACTGTTCCAGAAGTGTAAAATGGGAACCAAAACTCTTCACTTCCTTCTCTGAGCAGAACTGTCTGAGTGTGCGGTGCTGCACACCATACACAGAGAGGCCTTTGAGAGGTTCAGATAAGGGACAATGACAGAAATCCAGACATGGGGACTCAAGTTTTTATTTCTATTTTTAAAACACCTAAGAAAAATCCATTACAGTTCTAGGTTAATATTTTGTTAAGATTTCTTTAAGAAATAAAAATAAGAAGACAAACAAGTTCCCTTTGGTGAAGTAGGAGATATATCACAATTACCTTTGTCATGCCTCACAGAAATCATCTGACATAGCTAATGCAGCCATACAATCTTAATTTACCCTTTGAGGCAAAGGAAGAATTCTATTCAGGCAAAGAGCCAATTGGATAAATTTTATTTTTAGTTAAAAAAAAAAGAATTACAAAAACTGTTCCCCCAAAATATATCAGTGTTTGTAAGACACATTGGTTACATCTTTGTACCCATAGTTTAAAAAAAGATACAGTGGGTGGGGAGAATAGGTGCCTATGTTATTGAAGGTCTCAAAGTTCTTTTAAAAATTCAGAGTAAGAACTAAAGAAACTAACAAAAACTTTCAGTATATAGTGAAACTATTTATTTCAATCTCATCACTATTAGGTTCCTTCTAACATGGAAATGGCAGTCTACCATAAGGTTTCTGTAGGAAGAAAACCACATATCAAGTGGATCTGAGTCATCTTCAGATTTCAATCATCTTCCCACAACACTTTGATTTAGAAATTAAACACAACCTTCAGTTATGTGTTTTGATCATAGAGTGAGACTGCCATGCCACATTAAAAGATGTGGGAAGAAATTAATTCTCTTCTGCTAAACTTATCTTCGCAAAGCATGTATTTTGCTATGATAAGCACAATGCAGTTGCTTAAATAAAAACAGCCCGTGAATGATGATAAAACATTAAAATATGTGATGTCAATTTGCAAAGAAAGATTTCTGGTTTTCTTTTACTCATATTAGCAAATAACTTCTTCACTGATTCATATTTTGACAACACTAGCATCGTCATATAATGTTTTAAAAAAACTCAAGGCTCAAAACCAAGCATACTATATCACATAGGAAATTATACTGTTAAGTAAATACAAACTGGATTCTTAGTAAGGTACAAAAATGATCTTAAGCCCAGTTGCTGCAAGCTTGTATTACTAATTCAGATAATTAAATGATTCAATATTATTTTAAGTGGAAAACTCAGCTCATTCTGGTACATCTAGATACATTTAACTTTCTACCTCACGACATATTTGAAAGACATATGAGACATGTAATTATATTTTGGTTGAAAGGAACAAGTAGAACTTTTACCTTTTTTTTTTGCTTAAGAGATATTTTGAACTTCAAAAGATATAATTATTGTTATTCTTATTGTTACTCAACTACGTGATGTCTTACAAATTGGGGAATATTTCCTTGG